CTGTGGTGTGTTTTGCGGCGTTTGGAAGGTTTTTGTGGCGTTTGGAAGGTTTTTGAGGTTTAAAAATAAAATGCATATGTTTCAGAACTGTTTAGCCGTATTTACATTGAACCTTATGGGAAACTTTACCTCGACTTGAGACCAATTTGAGTTGCAACCAGAGTCACGGAACGGATTAAGTTCGTAACTAGAGGTACCACTGTATTGCGTTGCCACAGATGTCAGCAATGTTAGGGTGCAAGAATTTATCTCCTAGAAGTCTCCATTAGAAATCACATTCAATTGATTTTGGGATGCATAACAAGGGAATTGATGGGCTGCCCTTACAGTCTTGGGCAGTTGGCCAGCACAGCATTTTTTTCATGGCTGCCCAACAAGCAAGAGAAGAGGCTACCATTGCAATATAAAAGCAGAGCAGTGAGTGGAGTAGATTGGGTGATAATAGCAATGAGGGTAAGTGGGACACTGGAAGGCGTCTTCATAAGGACATCTTCGACCACCTCCTGCTTCAGGAGCCAGGACATCATAATACCACTGAAGCTAACACTCCAAGTGTAGACGTGGATGGCAGACCAGTGGGAACTCCCAAGTTAGGTCTGGATCAAAGAAAATTAAGCCAGTCTTCCCTAGTCTCCTTATGTATAGACTCCACAAGACTTCACAGCAGAAGCCATGCTGGCCGCAGTAATCAGGGTGAGTGGGTGTGTCAAGTTTGGGAAGGTCCGAATAAACCCTGAACAAATGCTTTGTTCTGACATGTCTTCCTCTAGATTAGGCATGGAACATGATGGGCAAGGGAACAGATGTGGGGATGAAGTTCGGATGGGAAGTATAATGGCGCCGCTGGTCCAGGCTGCATTCCATCGCTTCCACTGGTCTCGCTGCAGCCAACAGGAGCTGAACCGATACCTGCAGTGAGTACAAGGATGGAGGAGAATCAGTTCTCAAGACTTGTATGACACCATTTCATAAGCTCTAAAGCATGGTGTTGAATCAGAAAAGTCTCCTGCTAGGAAAGTGGGGTGGGGGGGAGCATTTTAGTCAAAAAGTTAAAAAAAACTAATTAAATGTGTTATCCTGGACTCACTCACTTGTTTGAACAAAATGAGATGTACTTCTAAGTAACTGTTCATTGGATTGGTTTGTAAGGATGTACTGAGGCTATCTTGCAAGCAGTTACATCTTTATTTTTTCAGAATAAGCTGCTTCTCAGTTCTCTTTAATTTTTTTTTATCAAAAGGAGTTTCACTTAAAATACATAGGAATAAATATGTTTTTTTGTAAAATTCCAGGACATTTTGTTAAAGTTACATTTATTAAATAAAGAAATTCTGTCTTGGGGATTACTTTTTAAAAGAACATTGGCTAAAAAAAAGATCATTTGATGAATAAATGGTCTCTCTGAGAGCATGGTGCCCTCCTTCAGAGATGAAATAGAGATATGCCTTGAATACTGTGCAGGGTAACTGGGATTCTTATAATTGCCATCTCTCTTTTTGTGATTTCTAGGAGGGGTGTTTTTGAAAACTGATTATTGGGATATAAAACATATGGTGCTGCTTTTGATTCTGTAGCAGCAGATAGTGGTACCAAATGCTACCCATTTCACACTGGTGTCTGGAGCAAGGTTTTGTTGGCTGGTTTAAATAGAGATGAAATGAGTTGTTTCCACAGGTATGCTGAGCCCAGGACATTTAGTCCTTTAAAGATTGCAACCAATGTATTGAAATATGAACAGGCCAGAAAAGATTGCATATGTTCCTTATGGCTCTCCTGGTTGGTAAAGTGGCTGATGGATTCTGTACATTCCAGACTTTCTTCAAGACTAGATCAACATGCTTCAGATTATATTCAGGAGTAGACTACATCATACATAGATCACAGTACATTCAGTTGGCACATTTGACATTTTGCTAGCTCATCTTGGGTGTTCTTACAAAATAGCCAGCCACACAGTTTTGGAAAAACTGCTCCTTGCCACTCCCCCTAGTCCCCAAACACTCTTCCTCTAGTCCAGCTTCCCTTCGTCTTTGTTTCTAGCAAGAGTGCCCACTTAAACACTGCAGCCACTCATCAGAGAAGTCAGTGAGAACAAATTGATGCTAATTGAAACATGCATTGTTGACAGGAACAGGGACATGAAGGCACAGAGAATACATGTGTTCCTTCCTGGATCACATAAATCTTCTCCACAGCTTTGTTTTAGCTATTCTAGCTCTATATCCCCTATCAGAATAACTCTGCTAATGGTATGTTATGTTAGAGCTTCTGAATAGCTTTACTAGCAAATCTATAAGACTAGCAGCTTTCCTGGTGTTCCTTTAAAGCAACAAGGATCCAGATAAAGTGGAATTGCCATTGTCTCTTGAGAAAGCCTATGGCCTGTCAGCCAGCAAATTGTGGTCACAGAATCCTTGTTTCATCAAGTTGGAAGAAACCAGTTGGGTTTCATCGAGTTGGAAGAAACCAGTTGGGCCACTATGCCCAACCTTCTGCCCAGTGTAGGAATCCAGATGAAAACATCCTGGACTGTCCAAACTCTGCTTGAAGCCTTCCAGTTAAGGGGAGTTTACAGTCTGCTTTCATAACTGGTTTCATTGTTGAACAGTTAGGACATTTTTCTTAATATTTAATCAGAATTTACCATCTTGAAACTTATATCCATTCTTCTGTGCTGTGCCCACTAGAATGGTAGAGTAGAGAACAGGTCTTAGCTTTCTTCTGTGTGACTTTTCAGGTACCTGAAGAATGCTTTCCCTTACCTATTTAGTAGTGGGGGGGGCAGGAACTACACATCCAATGAGAGGAAGCCTAGGAAGAAAGTAGAAATGTAACCATGATGTGGATATTTACATGGTTGAGATGTCAATACTTCCAAAAGAACAGTCACTTTTGTGTTTAAATCTCCAAGACTCAGGCATGTAATCTGTGAAGCCTGGCAATTGCTCTTGTTAGATGACTGGATTGGTCATTGTTACTAAACTCTTACTTAAATAACATATGTTAGCATAATTTTTCAAATGGAAATATAATTACAGTTTTATTGCATCAAATATGCTCCATTGATCAAGCTTTTGTCTTTACGCTTATTTTTTTCCCACTGTTATCTTACTCTTCCAGTGAGCAACATGTAAAAAAAGGATATGAGAATAACACCATAAAACTGAAGAAAGGTTACAGACATAATGAGACTATTATAGCAATCAGTTTTATTTAAATGAAAATGCTTCTATTAATATGTCAGTCATTTTCACCAAACAGATGAATCTAATAACAACCAATAATAAGTTATTATGCAGAGGGAAATAGTTTCATCTCTATTTGTAGCAACTTATTTTTTAAAATTATTCTTCTTCTTTCCAGATGACTCCCCCAGGGTATTTATTATATAGAGAGTTTCCATGTAACTAAGGGGCATAACAGTGGACCAAATGCTGCTTGTCTCAGATGCTAATCTACTAGAGTGAATGCTGGGTTTGGTGTACCCTAGGTAGGAAGTATGCTTTCTGAACTCATTTCTGAGAAAGCATGACCTGGATTATGCTTGGAACAATCATGGACTGAAACTCACAATGCTCGAAACCTCTCACACTCCCATTTGTATGATTTGTGTCCATTGCAGTTCCTACGATTGTTTGCGCGATGATCCCTTTGACCATGACTGGCCCTCCCTTCCTCAGCTGCCAGGACTCCACTACTCCATGAACGAGCAGTGCCGCTTTGATTTTGGTTTGGGCTACATGATGTGCACAGCTGTGAGTATTTAATCAAACTCTGCTCTCCCTTGTCCAGGCTTTTGTAACTGTCCTGGAATAACTTTAAAAGGGAGCCTCAGAAGAAGGACAAAGTGGCTGACGGGCACACAGCAATGCCTACTGCCAAACTTTGAGATGTCTTGGAGAGTACTGTAAACATCCTGTTTATTAAGTACTAAGAATTACAATGCTATAATTTTATTAGAGGGTTTTGGAAATGGGATGTCTATGGAAAGAAGAGGATCTTATTACTGTGCCTTAATTCAGAGTTCCAGGCATTGGTGGCCTGAGGGTTTCTCTTCTGTCTTCTGTAGGGGGGTATTAGATGCGTGCCCTCAATGCCCTGTCATGGCTGTTTACAGATGCAGATGTTAATCCCTGCATGTACTGTCCAACATTTCCAAAGGCAGAAGGCTTCAATTATCTATGCCCAGCCTTCTTTCCCCCAAATCCTAAGAAATGTACAAAACAATAATTAAAGACACCTCCCAATTTAAAACACATAGAGACACACACAATCTGGAAGCTGCAATGCAACAATTGTCACGCATTTAAAACATTTTTGAAACAACAGCCAGAAATGGAACAAAAACAGCAAACTAAAACTACTGCTAAAAAGTAAGGTCCCTCAGATTCTAAAGGTTATTAGCAGCAAAGCAAGATGGTCGTCCATGGAAATGGTCGTCCAAAGCCAAAGTCTTTTGCTAAGATGATTTAAACTTAACACTACAGTATCTTATTCTAGCTCAGGGGCTTTTTGAGACTCACAGTGGTATCTAAAACACTGAAACAGAGCTTCTTTGCCCCCGACCCAATTGTAGCCAATCATCAGTATTGTAAGAGGAAGAGGAAGAAGACGACTTCTGCCAGTTCTGGCATGGAATTAATTTGATTTTCAGTGAATGGTAGCATCCAGATAAAGAGCACTCCCGATAAAATATACTGTATGGTTATATTAGGTCCAGAAAAAACATAGAAGTAATTTGTTGTGCCTTCTGTAGATTTGGAGCAATAATCTGACATTTCTGTGGGCAACTTCCCAGCCCAGCCTCCTTGATTATTCCTCTGTACTACATTAATTGTCTTAACTGAAATCTATGCTCCCTCAAAAATATGTGCAGTAGTTGCTCCCAGATATATGAACATTCATGTCTACAACTATGTATTTATGGAATAGAACTGAGAAGACCCTGCACTTGCAGATCCAGGATCCCCATTGGTCATGCCAACCTGTTGTCTTCATGCATCTACTTTACTCTTCCCAAAGAGATAGGGTTCTATCAAAGTGGTGTTCCCCTGCTGACATAAGACTCTTAATTCCAGTTTCTGGTTCAAAGATCCTTCCGTTAGAGAAAGGTCACCAGTTAGAGTCAAACCACTGTAATATACATAGCTTAATGTGGTTTATAATTGTTGTGGAAGATTACCTGCTGCCTGATTTCAAGGGGCAAATTAGTATAAAATTATACAGTGAACATATTTAACAATTTAATGGAATGGAGAAGTTGAAATGTTCCAGATTTTCATACTGAGCAGCTGGCACAAAAGGGCATTTTGTTAAATCTTATTGGAATCCCTTTCATCCTTGTGCACTGTACCCCTGTGGAAAAGACCAGTTAGATATTGATTTAAATTTCCCAACATTTGTATCAGTAACTGGGTTTACATTCCATGCTATATTGTAGTTGTTTGGTTTTGGCTTAGTATGTTGTGTGAATCCAAGGTTTACAACTTAGCATGTAATACAACCTGCCAATTATAGTCTATTCAATTAAAAATGGTTAAACAAAAAATGGTTCTGCATAAGATATGAACCAGATACTATTTATAGCAGAGAAGAAAATATATTAAAAATCAGTAAAGTACAAAATATATTGGATGTCAAGGTCCTTTTGTTACCAACATCTAAATTATCCTTGCACAATCCAGCACACTCCAGACCTGGTCATCCATCAAAGTGGAGCAAATGATGAAACATGTTTTGTGATATAAACTTCGCCCCTTTCATACCTGCATGGCAACATTGCATTCAAGTATGTAAAGGTGGAGCCTCATCAACTGCTCATGATGCATCTGTCATCGTTTTGATGAAAGTCACAAGTTTTAGCTCTTAGGGGAGTAGATAACAACTGTGAATATGAGCAAATAAAACTTAAAACTGCAGTACAGTATTGCTGTTGCTAACTGTCGTTTCCGTTTGATAGCACACACAATATTTTTTCAAACAAATTTACATTTGATTTTACATATTGCATAGGACAAATCAGTTTCATAAGTTTCAAATATGTGTTTTGAAATTTTGAACTACTTAAGATACTGCAGTCGTCAGGCACTTGGTAGAGATTTGTACCTTCCCCACCCATATGTATTCCCCACCCACATGTATTGACCAAGATGCTGTGGTCAATTTTATGTACAAGGAGAGTTAGAATTAAAACCATATCTGAGGTGATAAATTATGAACACTGTCTTCCACTGACTCTGAACAGAAGATTCTGTTGTGATTAGTAATCTTTGTTCCATTTGATCTTTTTTTTTTTTACACTCTCAGTATTTATAATGCTATTGTAATAGTCATGTCCAGTTTAAGCCTGTAGTTAGCAGTAAAATGTTCTGTATCCTCAAAACCATCAGTGTCTTCCTATCCTGATAAGGGTGGGTGGGTAGGTAAGTAGGTAGATAAGAAACATTACTTTTCTGGACTGTTCAACCCTCTCAAGGTAGATAATACATTTTCAAAACTCATAAAGCAAATTGATAATGGGAACAAACTGCAAAATTCACAAGAACAATAAACCACTCAATAAGAAGAGCCCAACTGAAATAACAGCAACATTTAAGCTACTATCTTAAAGTCTTGCAAAGGATGACCAAAAGTCACAAGCTTCTTCAGTTTTCTCCTTTAAAGATGAAGATAGAACTCTGTGCTCAGAATGTAAAGTATAATGTTGAAAACTTCTTTTCAACCATAGTAGAAGTTTCTGGAACAAATTCTTCCCAACTGTGGCAATTTAACATTTTGGAAAGAAGTAGAAAGATGGCCTGGGCTCTGCCATTTGAAACTGGATCAGATCCAAAGCTTTCCTATACCCATACCAGTTCCTAATTTACACCATCCCTGGAGGTGTGTAGGCTAGTTTCCTCTTGCTGGCTTCAGTGTAGGGAATATGCTGAAAAAGTGGAAATGGCATTCCTTCTTCATTTCAACCCTGCTAACAGGAATACAGCAGGACTGTAGTTGTTTCTGAAATAACAAGTAGGATTGCCTTTTTAAAATCACAGTAGAAAAGAATCAGTGCCAGATTAATCCAGATAATAACCTTTTTTTTTCACCCAGATCTGATCTTGAAGGGCTTAATAAATATTTAGTCAATGTGAGAGAAGAGCTTAGTGGATGGAGCCAAGACTAAGTTAATGATAGTTAGCATGATGATTATTTTCATGAGAAAATAATAATACATATTTCATACTTGAGTTGCCATTGATCCTTGAGCGTATGGCAACAGAATACTTTTAGATCTAAGTACCTGCTAGCATCCACCCTTTTTTCTGATCAGTCCTAACTGTCCTTTATATAAATTCAAGACTAGTCTCCAGTAATTTATTCTAATTGCCAACATAAATTTGGCTGCATACAAACATTCAAGAAACAATGTGTGATATCAATACTTTTTTTTTAGTTCCGCACCTTTGATCCTTGCAAACAGCTGTGGTGCAGTCATCCTGATAACCCCTATTTCTGCAAAACAAAGAAAGGACCTCCATTGGACGGAACGATGTGTGCTCCTGGAAAGGTAAGGATCTTTTATCTCAGGAAGAAAAAGAAAAAGAGAGAGTCCGATATTCTCTTCAGGTTTAATGTTATCTTTGGGAAGCTGAGTCCATCAGAAAGAGTTAAGAGATCAGGGAGTAAAAGGACCAGAGTGTAAGCGCCATTGAAACAAAAGTTTAAAGTATTTGTTTAATAATGTGTGTCTATCTGGGTAAACATGACAATAACTAAAAAATATGGAGTGCTGGCAATTAAGAGTTTAACATATCTAAAATGAATGTTATGAACTCCCAGAAGAATTGGAAGAACAATTTTTTTTTTTTAACTCCCTGATTTAATGGACCTTAGTTTACCAACTCTGGATGCATGGACAAAATTTGCTTCTCAGTATATGTAAAGTCTCATTCACCACTTTACACATGCATAAAGTCCTATTTGCCATGTTTTGCATGCACAAAGTGTCTAAAATCCCATTCAGCTTTATCAGCCATTTTGCTGTCATGAATAGCATTTCCCCATTATTAGTGCATTAAATCAAAGGAACTAAACGAAGGGGGTTTGATCATTTCCCCAGGTTGCAACTCAGGTCTTGGCATACAGGCTTTGAGGAATCTGTTGCTAGACCTGAATTTGCCCTCCTGAGGCTTCCCTTTCAGCAAAGACTCAGTGGATCTTACCTGTTTTTGCTCTCACCCAAATACCTTTCAATTTAATTGAATTGCCTACAGGCACAGTGAGAATGCAATCTGGTGGGGTGACTTGTTCTTCTCCCTGCCCTCGAAACTTGCTCCACAGGATCCTCAGCTCTGGAGCAAATTTGGGGCTCCACTGGGGGATGGCAGCAGAAGTGGAAATGAAGGTCCCATTGTGTTGGTTATAAAACAACCCTTTTATTAAACAATTTAACAAGAGTATTCCGAATACTTCTGAATTCTATAGCAAAGCTTTATTTTTTTCCCCACAAATACACCCATTAGCAGTCATGCAGACTAATAAAAAAGCCTCATGGTTTATTAAGATCTGCAAGAAGAAGAAATAAATAGAAGTAATGAGCCTAATAAAAGCAAAAATAGTAATGCAGCATTTCCTTTTGAGGGGAAATGTATTGTTATTGTACAGCACAAAATTATTATTTCAGATAACAATATCATGGTCCTTTTCAAAAATCTAAATATGCTGAAGAAGACACTATGAACATGCTGAATATCAGAGAATAAAGTATACAGAAACAATTTTGAATTGCTAGTGTAAGATCACCAATCTCATCTTGGAGGGCTTTTCGATCTTTCACGTATGTGATTTCTTACACGCCTGAGTATGCATTTTTTATGATGTTATTAGCTGAGTAAATGGAGGGAAGGGGAGGAGAGGAGGGAAAATGAGAGAAGGAAGGCCCCTTCAAGAGGGAAAATTGAGATCCTCTTGCAAGTTTACCTTTCAGCTGGAGGATAATTAGAGTGATGATAACTTTCTTGCCTAATGCAAAGCAACTGTAGGTGGAAAATATGTGTTGATGGATGAGCTTCATTCATTCCCTAGCTCAGTCAGAAGGGGTTGGGGGGAAAGACCAAGCTAATTTTTTGGAAAATAACTCAGCTTATTATTCAAGCCAACTTTCTTTGCCCTCCAGAGGTTAACCAAGCCCCTACATTCATCTGGCTCCCCAGCTTATTCTTCCTACATTTACTCATCATTCTTTTCCTTGCTTTCCTTCTCATTTATCAAACTGGCATTCTGGTTCCAGTGACAGCAAGCCACTAAGAGTGGGAAAGTCTGTCTTTTTTCCTATCTTAATGATCAGAGCGATCATTGTAAAAGCCCCATGTAGTGCAGCACAAGTATACCAGGCAGTGCCTTACCCAAGTGGAATCTGCCTGTCTGGCCTGAACATGAGAGGAGCCCTGCTGAGAATTCCTCCCTCTCTCTCACCTACCTGTGTAAAAAAAAAAAAAAAGTACACAGGACATGGCATAGGCAACAGGCCTTCTCTGTGGAAGCCCTCACACTGTGAAACACACTTTTCCCACAAACACATTTGCTCCTACCTTCCTTGCATTTCTCATGCTGGCAAAAATTATATTTATTCCGACATGATGTAGTTGATTGTGGGTGTCCACTACAAGAATTTTTATGATTTCTCTGGGTTGTTTTTATTGTGGTTAGATTTATGTTTTGTGCTTTGAAGTTTACCACCCAGAGTCTGTAAGGATTGGGGCAGTCTAGAAATATTGTTAAATAAATATATTCCTGCCATGCTATTACACTTTTACAGTACCCTCAGGAACCAAATTACTGCTAGATACCAGTTCTAACAGTATATTCTTCTCATGTAACAATTGAATAAATCCTGATGGGAAATAAAATATTCCTCATTTTTTAAGAGAACGATTCCGACAATTGATATATAGAATGATATTTTCAATCAGATGTGATGGCAGGGCAAAAATGGAAGATAAATTGGCTCCAGGCCTTTTACCCTCCTGATCTGGATCTTGTGCGTGGAGTAGCTGCTTCACTGAAGCAAAGTACACAGCTTTCTTAAGCAGCTTGTCACCCTACTGGGAGCTCTGTCTGGTAATCATCACTTCTGAAGAAGTGCCTCACTGTGATGCAATTTGAAGATGGCTGCTGCAAATCCTGATCATTGCAGCCAGTTTTCAGTGCATCAGTCTGAGGGCATTCTCAGAGTGATAACCACAGGACCCCCAGCCTGTCAGGTGAAAGGAAATTGCCCATGATATAGTTGCTAGAGAAAGAACACATAAAAGGGAATGTGGGGTAGAAAGTATTTATGAAAATGGTGGAATCTTCTCTCTCCTCAGATGGTGGTCATCTTCAACCACTACAGAATGAAGTCTTTACAATCTGATACTCATACTTATGGAAGATGAACATACTTGTTTGTTTGTCTGTTTTGGTGGTACTATATCATTTCCATTATCAGAAAAAATGTGCTTCTCAATACCAGTTCCTGGGGGAAATGAAGAGGAGGGTCTGTGGTGCTCATATCTTGCTTTTGGATGCCTCATTAGTACTGGCCTGACCACTTTAGAAAGACTGTGCTAGACTCAGAGGGCCTTCTGGCTTCAGCCAACCTTGGTAAATTGCTACCCAGTAAATGGCTTTCCACACCTGCTGGTGGTCAGGAATCAAAGTGCATTTTAAGGTGGGATGTGTTCAAGGATGTTAATCAATTCCATTCTATGCAGCAAAAATATTTTATTAATAATGTAATGATCAATTATTATTAACCTGTAGAATCCTCTGATAGAGTAGCCTTCAGATGAACTTTCTGATATTGGTTAAAATAGCTTAGTTCTAAATTCTTAAGAAAAATATTATCAGAATAAGCTGAGCAGTAGTACTGCTTCTTCTTGCATTTTTGTTGTCCTTTCCTTTTTTCTGTTTTGTTTTGCTTTAAAGTTGTTTATCTTTGCACAGCTTTTTGAATATTTAAGGATTCTTGTGGTGCCTTCATCTCGTTCAGTTTCAATTTCTCTGCAGGTTTTCATGTGTTACCTGCTATAATTTATCTGCAAATGTTTCTATCATTTACATATTTACTTTTTAAAGCCTTTGTTTAAGCCTTTTAACCTTTATTTATATTTTAAGGCATATTAATAAACCCTATTTCTACCCCTAAACATAAATATTTAATCATGAGCCCATCAGTAAATATTTAAACATTTTGCTGTCAGGTGAGTTTTATATAGACCAACTAAGCTGGTGCGTGCTGATGGTCCAGTGGATTGGGGATGGAAGAACCATTAGGTTTCCTACCATCTTCCCATTGGACCAGTCTCCAGGAATTTCATTATCCCATATTGTTTTTTCTCTTTCAAAGAACAGAGTCTCTAGACTCAATTTTCTTCCACTCAATTACTGGAAATGCTTAGGTAAATTTCATGGGATTGCTTATGGTCTTACTAGCATTTAGCCTCACAGAGATCTATGCTTCACGATCAACCCAATTCTTCCTGAAATAGTTTTTAAGTAGAAGGAATAGAAAAGGTGGTTGAAGTTTAATATAATGAAATAAGCTTGAACATGCACTAAAATGTATGCTAATTGTAACGGCTTCTTTGGTATTTCAGCTACACAAGAAATTATGTAAACTAGTAACAGACAAGGACTACCTTAAGTTTATGGCAAATGGCAATAAGGTTGTTTCTATTTTTGTTTGTAGATCTGTATCAGATACATTGGCAAAGATCTACTTCTCACGAAAGTAATACATTCTTTTCTAGATTATACCATTTCAGATTGAAGGGTGACAACTTACTACATTTGAGTGAACTTTCTTATGAAATAGTTCCTTGCATACCAAAAACTGTTATGTCAGGACAAATGGTTAAATTAGATTTGTTTTGTATCTGACCTCTGGTCTTTTTGTAGTAAGACTTAGGTTTCATTTGGTACACCAGAATCACAGCTTTTTTCCACTTCAGTGAGAAATAGTCCAAGTAAGCTATTTTGACCAACCAATTTGAGTAGTTTGCTGACAAATAAAAAGCTTTGAAGCAAGAGTTCTCAAACTTTCTAGTCATATATTCCACAGAGGAAATGAGAGCCCAGTCACAGAACAGCAGTGGGAGCAGGAGGACAGTTATAATGGGAAGAAACACAATCCAATTTGATGTGGAGAAGAAAAGTAATTCATTGTTCTTAACAAAAAAACAACCTTTTAAACTCACTCCCTCTCATCTTCAAACAATTTGCCTATAAACTCCTTTATCATCCAATGGGAGACAAATGTCGAAAGCCAATACTGTAGTGGCTTTGGACATATAGTTGAGAAATGCTCTTCTAAAGGATTTTTCAAACATTTTTTAATTAACAGGATCTCATTCAATGGATTGAATGAGAGAATTTGATTGACAGAGATTGAAAGAGCCAGTTTGGCGTAGTGGTGCTGGCCTAGAAACCAGGAGACTCTGAGTTCTAGGCCTCCCTTAGGCATGAAAGCTGATGGGTGACTTTGGGCCAGTCTGTCTCAGCCCAACTCACCTCACAGGGAAAATA